ATATATATATATATATATATATATATATATATATATATATATATATATTTCTTTGAACTCACCATGATACATTTTTGACTTGTATACAATAGATACTGCCAAATTTGAAGATAATGGAACTCTGGTATTTGTCTTTCCTAATGATAACACCAAATTTTAATGGGCTTCCACATCTTGAAAGATTCAAGCTTACTGGATGTCGGCTATTAGAAGAGATTCATCCATCGATCGGATGTTTGGAAAGGCTTGTCTTCTTATCTATAGAAGATTGTAGGAGACTTAAGATGTTTCCACCCATTACCCAACTAAAGAAACTCAAGACCCTTTCATTCTCAGGGTGCTACAAACTTTTTAAGCTCTCTGAGATCCAACAGAATATGGATAATCTTCATTTATATAATATTGGTGACACAAAACTTGGGTTACAACTTTTTTGCAACTTACAAGAACTCGTCTTAAAAAAGTTGGACCTGAGCTGGTGTTGTTTGGAAGATGATGACATGAGCTATGCTCTTTGGGAGTTACCTAACTTGCAAGAACTCAATCTAGAAGGAAATAAGTTTTCACAATTAAGTTTTACTCGCTTGCAGCTTCCTCGGCTCAAACGGCTCGATGTGTCATGGTGCAGAAATCTTGTTGAATTGTCAGCGCTGCCATTAAGTATAGCTATTGTTAAGGCGGATCATTGTAGGTCACTCAGAAGCTTTGGAGATGTTTCAAACTGTAAATGGTTGTGGAACTTCTCACATCGCTGGGAGAGCAAACTTAGTGAAGCTGGCATATTACTAAACTCCATGCTCCAGGTTTGGTTCTACATACCTTTACAATTCCAGTATTTATTATATAAAGTCATAAACCTACACATTCATAGTTGAATGTGTTTTTTATGGCAGGGAAATGCTGTTGAAGATCACTATATCAGTGTTGCTTTTGAACGTCAGATTCCAAAGGGGTTTGTGGGTAGGTTCTTTACGGGGTACGGGTACTCATTTACAAGGCGTCGTCCACGTAATGCCAATGATAGTGAGCACACATTTACATTGCGTCTTCCAGATGATTGGTACAATGACTTTTCTGGGTTCTTAATACGCATTGTTACCAACAATAAACTTCCGGATATTAATATAATATTCACGCATGAGGTATATGAAAAAGATTTGAGATTTGAGATTTGGCAGGACTCTAATGAGGCACCGGGGCCTGAATATTTAAAAGGAGAAGTAAAGACGTATGTGGGATATGTTTCTTTTAGTTCCTTGAGGCAGACCACATCGTTAAATTCATCATACAATATTATTTCATTTTCCATAGAGGATATGGATTGGAGTTCGTTTGCAGCTGAACTTGTTCCTAGGGAAAGAAAAGATGATGCCGATAAATCACGAAAAGTCGCAACAGATTCAGAATATTGGAATGATGAACATGATACGCGCAAGGCATTTATGATCCAACATGATTTATACTCTTTTATCCAGATATTATGGCAACCTTAGGACACCATCTAGCAAACCCAGTACCTATATCTATGACTATTTTGGATTCATAGTTCATGCTCTCGTTGTTTTCTTTTGAGTTATTATTATCAAATGATCATGTTGTTGTAAACCAACGTCTTGCTAAATGCGCTTTTAGTCTTAACGTCCTAGTGGTCTGTTTATAGTTTTACTGTTTTCTCTTTATATACTAATTTGAACATTATGAATATATACCTTGCCAATTCCCCCTTCCCCCTTCTCCTTCTCCTTCTCCTTCTATGTTTATAGTTTTCTCTGTTTCAAGAGTGGTTTTGCTAATATTTTTCTTCATTTTGAGAGTTGGATTAGGTAAAGACTGAGTGATGGTGAGGTACAATCTACTAATGCACAAGGTACAAGAATATTGGAATCTTCTACCCACACACATAAACAATGTGGTAAGATGTATTTTTTTTGTACAAATGGATTGTTCACAGAAGCATTTTCGAGACAATATAAAAAGCAACGGAAAAGAGGTCAAATAGCATTTTTTGGTCCTTCAAAAATCATTGATTATGAGGATGAAATCATCAATGTGTAAACAACTCCCTTTGTATTGAAAATGTTAAGATATTTCTTGAGCTTTTGGTTGATTGGAAATATCTTGGAAACGCACATCTCTCTCTCTCTCTCTCTCTATA